CAATTAAAAATCTATCGTTTTTTGAAATCCCAATAGTTGGGATGCCACGCCACTACCATTTTATACCTGGTAGGTTGAAGTCCTCCAGTATTACTAGCTTATAAGGCATCCGTGCCAGCATATCCAGTGCTGATCGGAGCTTCTCGTCCTCCGTTTCCCTTGCACTAGCATTCCTGTATACATACTCTATGTTGGTTTTGTGCCCCTCGGCGGCGATAGCAACTGAGCACATCTGTATGTTGCTCGTGCAGACTTGAATATCCAACCGAACTTGTTGGACATCCTTCTTAACTACTATGAGTACTCCGCCACCCTGCACCTGCGGACTACAATCTTGTCTATGAACCTCATAGGCTTCCCGAGCCAGTGCCGGGACATGGTCGTGACTAACGAGCCTTGATTCTGAGACGGCTACTACAGTCGCTTTGTGTTCATTTGCTATGTTTAGGGTTTCCTTAAACTGAATACATTAGTACATAGTACCACAACTTTACCGTCCCGCATGTCTAACTCCCTCCGGCCCCTAATTTTCCTGTTCTCGCGTGACAACATTGTGTTGATCGATCTGTGAAAATCCTTCCTATAAAGCTCAGTCAGTCTATCTCGGTTCCACGTTTCGTGAGTTTTACGTTCCACTTACCCGACACCACCCGCCTCACACATACATAAACATTTGACATTCCACTTCCTTTGCATACTTACACATCGACCCTACCAGTGGACTTTGTTTCTTTATCTGCTTCATTCGTACCCTACTTGTTTTGGTCGTGACCTGAGCGCTCTTATTTGGCTCTTTCGTGAGCAGCGTGACGGTGAGCGTGCTATACTTGTACAGACTCATTGCCTTCCGTTCAGATTTGTTGAATTACGCTCACAGTAACACTTCGCTCTTGTTTTCAAGTTGTTTCGAGATCAATTTAAGGTTTGTACAGTTTTTATTTGCTTGTTTGATCGTTTAATAATTCAGTACTGTATAAACTTGCCGGACCGTTCGTTTTTTCGACGTTTTGGGATCCATTTTCGGCTAAGCGTTGCTCGTAGATCTATTCGAGAGTTACAGTTGAAGAATGTGTAATGCTGCCAAACTAAATTGGGCGAGGGAAATTCTGAAGGAACTGTTTGGCCAGTCGTTTCATGTGACATGGACGCTCATTGACGGGGTGCTAGCCGAGGGCCGTATAGCGAGAAACAAGCCCGAATCGTTAGTAAGACTGATAATGAAGATGCAAAACTATTTCTTTTCCCTGACTAAAATGAAGTATGAAGCTGATCTGAACGCACTACACACCCTAGAGGCAATATTACGATGCCTGCCGGCTGACATACAGCAGCGATGGGCGGAGGAGACGGTGATTATTGGCCGTTTAGAAAAGGAACCAAACTTTACCGAGCTAACGGAATTCATCCGAAACCGTGCCAAAGTCGCCAGCAGTCGCTTCGGACAACTCGCCTGAATGAGTAGGTGAGAAGAGAGACATCACACTAAGGAGCGAACCTATGAGATCCTGAGGTGTTCTAGGAACGGGAACAACTATGCGACAGTAGGGGAACGTAGCAAGCCTAGATGCCCCATTTGTCGCTTGAATCACGAGTTATCCGCGTACGAGAAGTTTGCGCAAATAGCAGTTCCGGACCGTTGGGAAGCAGCCAAGAGTCATGTTGCGTGCTTTATCTGTTTGAACGGATCACATCGTGCAGTCGCTTGTAGAAACCGTAGCAGATGCAAGGAAACGGGGTGTCAAGGAAGCCACCATATTCCAGCATCCTGTGAGGGAAATCTAGTTATCGGCACCCCTAAACCCCATTGTAAGTTTACTTTCTCAATTGGCGGGCAAGCAGGTACATCTCGGGGTAACACCAGTGAGCATATTACACCCAGAAGGGTGGTGAAGGCGATGGCGTTCATCGACAACGGATCCGATACCACATTGATCACCAAACGCTTTGCCGTAAAAAGAACATCACAACCCGACCTTCTTCCCTGACGATCAGCACGGTGAACGGCACCAAAGTGACGTCCGCCGATCAAGAAAACGTGACGTTGATTTTGCTAGGTAGTGGGGAACGAGTGGAGGTGACGGAGCTTTCACCATCGCCGACTTGCCGATGCGAGCGGTGAAATCGATCGGGGAATTAGCAACGCGCTGGCCTTACCCACGAGACGTGTTTCGAAGAAGCCGACTCTCCTGAATTCGATTTGCTAATAGGGTGTGACGTGCCCGAAGCATACTGGGTCCTGGAACAGAGACTGGGTGGCAGAAAAGAACAATATGCTGCTCGCACCATGTTCGGGTGGACGTTGTTTGGACCGCCACATACGACAAACCGTAAACCGTTCAGTTAACTTCACCACCACTACCACTGGTAACGATACGATCGAACAAGCTCTTCAAAGGATGTACAATAATGAGTTCCACGACTTGAACGACCAGAGAGGGGGCCCTTTCGTAGAAGATAACCAGGCACTAGTCGAAACAGGGACACGGTGCCAACCCGACCGGTTAGTTGTGCCGTTGCCATGGAGGACGGGATACGACCGATTGCCGAACAATCGCGGGATAACCTTCAAAAGGTTAGAGTACCTTAAAAGGCGACTGATCCGCGACACAGATCTCCGTCGATGATACGCCGCGGCAGTGCAACGGAACGTTCAACTGGGATACATAGAACAGTTGGATGTCTCACAACCACTCGGGTAAAGACTGTGGCACTTGCCACCCCACTCGGTAACAAATCCCAGAAAGCCAGGGAAGATACGCGTGATATTCGACAGTGCGGCGCGGTACGGCGTCCTCTGTC